GAGCGGCACTGCTCATGGAAGAACGGGCGGCGCAGGAGGCGGCATTCGGTTTTGAGGTTGTCGATGGTCCCTGAGCCCGCGCCAGGCACCTGCTCCTCGCAGCGGTGAATGCGGGAGCAGTTGAACCAGCCCCGGCCGTTCATCAGGGCGGATATCGGCGGCCAGGGGTACTCTGCCGTGTAGTTTGGGAAGGCGGCGATGGGGCCGTCAAAGTGCGTGGCTTGGTCTCGCCCTGGCTCGTGAAACCATTCCATGAGCATGATGGAGTAATCCAGCTCGTAAGGAAATTGGGCTTGGACTGGGTCTGTCTCATCCTCTGCGTACTCGGAGATGATGGCGCCTTGCAAGCCCTCTGTGTACTGGGCATGCACGTGGGAGTGGTACCAGAAAGAACCTGTCTGTGTGACCTCGAAAGCGTAGGTGAAGCTTGTGCCAGGGCTCACGCCGCATTCGGTGATGCCAAAGGTGCCATCCATCCACGCATTGTTGAGTTGATGCAGGCCGTGCCAGTGCAGGCCCGACACCTTTTCGTGAAAGTCATTCACCAAGGTGACCTCCACCTGATCACCGCGTACAAAACGAAGCACAGGCCCGGGAAAAGCAAGAACGTTGACGCCATCAACAAGCAGGTCTGCTTGCAGCACGCCAATGACGGTTGTGGGAAACCCATCTGGATTGGCTGGGTAGTCTCGGACATGTAACTCGAATCGCCTGGGACCGCAAGTGCCAGTGTGCACGTCCATGACACTGCCATCCGCGCAGCAGGAGCGGCCCGTGCCACCGCAAACGCCACACCCATCAACAGTTTCGTGGCACCACCGGCCGCAGGCGTCACCTGGCTGTTGGCTGCCGTCGCATTGACAGGATGAGCCGTCAGATACCCCGCGATAGGAGCAGCAAGCGCGGTCGTTTCCTCCGCACACCCCGCAGTTGTCGATGCTATCCGTGCACGCGGGAAAGATCAAGCTTCCAGACGACGCTGGAATCCCATCCACTGGTGGAGCAACAAGCATGCTGCAGAAGCACACCAGGACCAACGCCACAATTGCCATGGTCAAGTATGGAGCGATCGGGAAGCGGAGTGAAGGAAGGAAGGAAAGAAAGAAGGGAGGGAGGGAAGGAGGGAGGAAGGAAGGAAGAAGGAGCAACCAAAGAACCAACGACGACGGCAACCTCCAGGTACAACGATGGCGAGTGTTGTGTGTGTGGGAGAGGTTGGAACAACAATGTTGTTGTGTGGAATGTCGTGTGCTTTGGAGGTTAGTTGTTTTGTCGTTTGTGCTCGCACGGTGTGGTGAGTGTTTTGCATGGTAGGTGTTCCCACAACAAAACAGTCTAACCCCAGAGCCAGAAGACCAAACAATGCAAAGCCGAAAAGCTTCGCATCAAGTCGACGCGACGGAAAGTGAGGGTCGCGAAACCACAGTGTGGTCGACAGCATGGTCAACATGGTCATGGCATGGGTCATTGTTGGCGAAGATAGTGAAGCGCAGGAAGTGTGGCAATTTGCGTGGGCAAGCAAGACTTGGCGCTTGGCGCGCCAAAAGAGAAAGCAAGACAGTCAAGTTTCAGTGCTGTTCACTGGCGATTCGCAATGACTTTCAGCAAATTTCTGCATCTTCGGAAGCAGCTGTCGCTTGTGAAAGACAGTAGTGCATGCTTCATCCAGCCACGAACTCACGAAGCCAAACCAAACACAGAAACACACCCACATCTTCATCTCAGCATCTCCTTCATCTCCTTCATCTCCCCATCTCCTCGCCTCTTGCACGGGTCTCTGCAAGCTGCCACTGTGCAAGGACATGATGCGCACGAGGCGTCTCAATGTCTGTGGCCCACCTTTGTTGCGCCACCTGATGATGGTGGTGGTGGCGCTTCTCCTGGCAGCCCTGCCGTCAATGATGTTCACTGCATGTGCTCTTGAGGCTCTTGGAAGTGCTGGAGGGACGCCATTGACCATTGCCTCGACTGAGGTGATATGCTGGTGGTTGGAGAGATGTGCTCGTCTCGTCGTGACGGCGTGCGAACACGCAACAACACAAGCATGCTCCTTCCTCAAACAACACGCACACACATTAACACACACTCACGTGCATACGCACACACTCACACACACGCACACTCAAACACACACACACACACAAACACACACGCAAACAAACACAACACTCACGTGCATACACAAACACGAACAACCCCAACCCCCCAACACACGTGCGTAAATACATCCACCCAAACACACCACAGGGTCATCCTCGGTCGTCTGTGCTGTGTCAAGATGCGGAAGCGACGTTGAAGCAGATTGAACATGTGCTGGACACGTGCAAGGTGCCATTGTCGTCTTGGACAGACAGCAACTTCCCTCGTGGCACGCCACATGAAGAAGTAAAGCCAATGGCGTCAACGTCAACGTCCAACGGCGTGCTTCTTGACTTGTCCTCACTTCAGCGGCTGATGCTGGCTGCTGGATGCCGGAACCAACCTCAACGAAACGCCAGCGCTGGCACAGGTGTGCGGTCGCCGCCAACACCACCAACACCATTGAGGCGACAGCAATTACGACGGCTGCACTCTTCCCCACCGTCCGGTGGCGTGTCTTCGCTTCCTGGCTCTAGTCCCTCCAGCCCTTCTTCCTCTACAAGACGTCCCCACCACCAAAGCCACGTGGCTCCACCAGCACTATCAACGCCTGCGACCACCCGAAAGCGCCGAGCCTTACAGACTTTTAGTCTGGTGGAGCCGCGGGTGTGCACGCTTTCACAGGTGCTGGGTAGCGAATGCAAAGGCGCCGCAAGCACCAACGGCAGCCTGGTCATTACGTTTGACCATGCAGCAACAGCCAACAGGTCCACGGCAAACACAGCACCCACCTTCCCACCCAGTGCAGCAGCGGCAGCGCACTTGCAATCCATAGCCACCACTGTAACGAAGCTGACCGTGAACGGACGGGTGCAGCAGCACTTGCTGCAGTGGCTGCTGGCGAATGGCAACTGGAGCACGTGTGAGTGGCTGATTCTCGAAGGGCTTGAGTTTTCGACGTTTCACATGCGCACCCTCAATCCATTCTCTGGCATGACCAGGCTGCACGTGCAGAACAGCGAGCCGCTGCGCGCAGTGGACACACAAAGCTTTGCACACGCCTCACAGGTTCTGCACCTGCAACTCAGCAACAATTCGCTCATGGGCCTCCCCACTGCCGCTCTGGCTGACATGACGAACCTGCAAGTGCTTGACATGCCATTCAACTTGCTGTCCGCAATCACCGACACCATGTTTCGCGGCCTGTCGTCGCTGAGGGAGCTGTACCTCTACAACAACCTCGTTTCCCGAGTGGATGAAGCCGCGTTCTCGTCCCTCACGAGCTTGCGCACGCTCATCCTGGCCATCAACGACATCACGTCCCTGCCACCGCGCTTGTTTTACAGCCTGACGCAGCTGACCGCCTTGCAGCTGCAGCACAACCCCATCACGGAGCTACACCCAGACGCATTCCAACACCTCACTCTGCTTCAGCACCTCAACGCACAAGATCTCGCGCTCACAGAACTCTCGCCGTCCTTGTTCCGCGCAACCTCCCAACTCTTGACGCTGGCTCTATCCAACAACTTCCTACAGGCGCTACCGGCTTCCGTCTTTGCTGGCTTGTCCACGCTGCAACGGCTGGTGCTCTCCTCAAACGCCATCACTGCCCTACCATCGACCGTGTTTCGCGACCTGACCTCAGTTAACTTGCTGGACCTTAACAACAATAAGCTCACGGCTTTGCCGCCAGGGCTGCTGGACAGCTGCGAGGAGCTTGCGTCGCTTGCCTGCAACAGCAACGACCTCACGTCCCTGCCTCCAAACCTGTTTGACAACACACCTCACCTGTTTCAGCTCAGCATCGCAGACAACAGCTTACGTGACATTGACAGGGCGCTTGCCCCCTTGACCAGCGTCGTGGTCTTGGACCTGGAACGAAACCAGCTCACTTCCTGGCGACTCAGCACGCCCTACCACAATCTGCGTCGTCTATTCCTCAACCACAACCCCATGAGCACGCTCCCAGATCTGGTCATGCTTCCGCAACTACTTGAGTTTCGCCTCACGGGCCATCGCATCACCACGCTCGACCTCACACCCGCCATCCACCTGCCATTTGTGACGCTGGAACTGGATGCCGCCCCGGATGTTTCATCCATCGCCGTCATCAATACAAAAGGTGATGGTGTGTTGGAGGACACTAGCAGCACTGACAACAGCACCTACATCAGTGACGGCTACAGCAGCAATAGTGCGACCAGGGCCTTTGCTGCCAGACTGAAGGCTCTGAGTCTGGAGAACGTGGATGCACAGCAGGTGCTAGCAACGCTGTCGGAAACTCGGCAGTTGGAGTTGCAGGACCTCCGATTGGGGTGGCCAGGCGCCGACGACCAGACCCTGCCCATGTCCCTCGTGTGCAGTCTCCTGGCGAGTCGTGTGCGAGAGTTGCGGTTGACACGTGCAGGGTATAAGACACTGGAGGTGTGCGCTGACAAGCAGTTTCGATCCGTCGTGCTCGCAAACAACCACCGCCTCACCTCTGTCACGTTGCACAACTCCCTGCACCAGCTTGACGTGTCTGGGTGCGAAAGGCTGACGCACATCAGTGCACCTGATATTGACGTGCTTGATGTCAGTGGCACACGCGTGCAGCCCACAAACGCGTTTTGCGCGCGCTGGGGCCGGCAGGTCCTATTTGCCCGCGGGTTGGATGACACACACATTGACACGCAGCAGGCCATCACGGCCCTGGGCGCTTGCTTGGAGTACACTGACGTTGTGGATGTCTCGAACAATGCGTGGCTCAACACCCCAGGATCCATGAATCGAGCCTTTGGTGAGAAGGTTGTGCTGTCAAGTGAAGCACACGTGACCGCCAACGCCGCCCCCATTGCATCGCGCACAGCACCGCCCGTGCTGCAGCTGACAGATGCACCCGTGGAATGCGCACTGGCCATGAACGCGCGTGACCTGCGCCTGCTTCATGACGTGAGTGTCGTCACACGCGAAGTGGTGTATTCGTTCCACTGCACATGCGCGCGTGGCTTCAAGATGGTGGATGGCACACGGTGCGTGGTGGACAACCCAGATGTTGCAGGCATTGCTGCTGGCTCTGTGATTGGCGGCCTTGCCCTTGGCTTGCTCATGGCATGGCTGTCACGCCGCTACCGTGGCATGACCAAGCGTATCGACCTACAGGAGCAGCTGTTGGTGGAGAGGGACGAGGAGGTGATGGCGCTGAAGAAGGCGTGGGAGATTGAGTACGATGAGCTGAGGATGATCAAGCGTGTTGCTGCGGGTGCATTTGGTGTTGTATTCAAGGCACAGTGGGAGACAGTCACGGTGGCGGTGAAAGTGCTGCAGCAAGCCGTCATGGCGTTTGACGAGAGCACGGTGCTTGAGTTTGAGAAGGAGGTGGAGTTCCTGCAACGGACACGGCACCCGCACGTGGTGCGGTTCTTTGGCGCGGGCACAGACCCCAACGGCAGCCCGTTCCTGGTGCTGGAGTTTGTTGCTCTGGGGTCACTCAAGGACCTGTTGGGGAAGGACATGGGGGAAGTGTTAATGGAGGTACGGCAGAGAAAGGTCGAGGAAAGTGGCGGTGGCGTCGATGATGTGAGCAGTGTGTGGGATTTGAAGCTGCGATTGCTCCGCGATGTCGCGAGTGGCATGGCCTTTATCCACAGCCTCGACCAGATGCACCGGTGAGTGGGATATTTTGTGTGTGTGTGTGTGTATGCGTTTGTGCTTGTGTGTGTGTGTGTGTGTGTGTGTAGGTGTGTGTGTGTGTAGGTGTGTGTGTAGGTGTGCGTGTGTGTTGCGTATGTTGTGTGTGTTTGTGTGTGCGTGTGTGTGTGTGTGCGTGTGTGCGTTTGAAGCTGCGTTTCTATGCTTGCATGCAGGTACGCACTTTTGCCCACCGCACCATCCTACCCTCATCTCAACTACACCAACACCACCCAAACAGGGACCTGAAGAGCGGAAACGTGCTGGTGTCATCATCGCTGCGCGCGAAGATTACGGATTTTGGATCCATTCGCCAGTGCTTTACGCGTGGCGGCAGAGCCCACAGCAGCGGCCACACTCGCCTGTCATCCAGCCAAGCTGACGATGATCCGCAATACAGCCAGCACGCTGGGCTGCAGACAATGACGAGCATGACGCTAACGGCTGGCGTGGGCACGCCACTGTACATGGCACCAGAGGCACTGACGGGCGACAAGTACAGCTTTGAAGCCGACATCTTCAGCTTTGGCGTGCTGATGTGGGAGATGGCGACACAGCGACCACCGGATCTGATTGAGCAAGAAAAAGGAAGTGGCTTCAGAGGACCACTGCTGCCAGCAATCACGGAGCTCTTGATGGAGGGCAAGCGGCTCAAGTTTGACGACATGGGTGGTGAGTTTTGTGTGTGTGTGTGTGTGTGTGTGTGTGTGTGTGTGTGTGTGTGTGTGTGTGTGTGTGTGTGTGTGTGTGTGTGTGTGTGTGTGTGTGTGTTCGTGCTTTTGTGCAGTGTTTGTTCTTGCGCGAGCATGGTGGGGTTCTGACTTCTTGCCTGTGCATCCTTTCCCCCTCACCCACTCACTCACTCACACACACACACACACACACTCACTCACTCACTCACTCACTCACTCACTCACTCACTCACTCACTCACTCACTCACTCACTCACTCACTCACTCACTCACTCACTCACTCACTCACTCACTCACTCACTCACTCACTCACTCACTCACTCACTCACTCACTCACTCACTCACTCACTCACTCACTCACTCACTCACTCACTCACTCACTCACTCACTCACTCACACACGCATCCTTCTCCACAGCCATCCCCGAGTGGTTCCAGTCGCTGACGTACAACTGCATGGCGCAGAATCCGCGTGAGCGCCCGTCGTTTGGGGAGCTCAAGGACCATCACCTCGCATAGTGTCATGTCACTCATGTGCGGATGTGTCTCAGATGTGCATGTATGTTCTTGCTCGTGCTTTACACGCCCGACGAGCGTTTGTGCGTCAATGAGGGTTGCTTCCCCTCCGTACGGGTTAACAGTCAGTGAACCATGAACGCATTTACTTCAGTAGGAGGGAACACACGGAACAAGCGACGATTTAGGCCACACACACACACACACACACACACACACACACACACACACACACACACACACACACTCACACACGCTCGCACGCACACACACGCACGCACACACATACACATATATGTATATATGTACACACAACATACACGTATACATACACACAGGCACATACGCACACATACATTCGCAATACGCACACAATATATAAATGTCGGACAAGCATGTAACACTATCGCGAGAGAAAGTATGGAGACCGATACGTATCTCGATCAACAATTTTTAGCGGTGTGCCTTGTGGTCTTGTTTGGAATGTGTTGGGTCTTCCTCCCCTACGTTTCATCAGAGTGAGGCGTTTCTTAGCGGTGTGCCTT